CCCCCCCCCCCCGCTCACCCTTTTTTTAGTGTCATGACTTTTTTTCATCCAATTTCTTTTACTTTTCTCAAATCCCCTGACCCTTTTTCTTTCAATCCACGATATACTCTTTCTCAGGTTTTGTTTTTTTTCCTATTTTTTCTTCCTTTATTGAAGGAGGGTTTGAGCGTAATACAAAGCAGAGAAGATATGTATTATGGCGGGGGCGAGGGAGACATTTGATGAGGACAGAATGTTTTTTTAGGAGGATGATCTTGGTGATGAGGAGGTTTGGAGGAAACCGTGAAATTTGAAGCAATTTAGGAACTGTTCTTGGATGTGGAACTATCCCGGTAATGAGGGGAGTTAAGAGGAAATGTCACAAAAATTCTTTTTAGTAATTTTATCAGTCCCTACAAACAGGGTTTTCTGACTTTTTTAAAAATAAAAATACTCGTTAGTGAGATGAATGTGGCAATTTTGAATTCAGGTCCATGCAAACTAAATGATTTTTTCACATTTTGTTAAATGTGGAATCATCTCGGCAATGGTTGATATTATTGGTCCGTTAGACCTTTGTTGTAGCTGACCAAATTCTCTAGAAAAAATCTCTCAAAATATTTTCGCGACGAATCCGTCGCCCCCAAGTGAATGAAAAATAACAAAACTGAAGGACAAATTCCACTTGTCGATTTTTCACAAGTTGTTAAAAATTGTATCATCTCACTAATGAATATCTGTGAAGAATTGTATCAGTTATCAGAACAATCTTCCGACATTTTCTCCTAAAATCATTCGTTTCCGAAATGCATGAGCAGTTCATAAAAGATTTCTTACATTTTGTTGAATGTAGAATTATCTCGAGAACAAGTACTCCTATCCAAAAAGTCTCAGAAACTATTTTTCGTAGAAAAATTTCTTGAAAGATCTTTTGAAATTGCTGCTCAAGATCTCTCATTATCCAGAAAATCCCCAGAACCAATTCCCAGAAAAATGAAAATCCCTTCATCGCGTTGCACTTCTCCCCTCCCATAAGATCTTCGTTTATGAAACAGCATAATATGTTTCTTCATATCGAGAAAAAGTATCGAATACCTCGTGAAGAAGCCACTCCAATCCCTTAAACAATAGACCATTGACGCTAATTTTCCATTGTCAATGATCATCCCCCACCCCAAATATTCGATACTCTCTCTCGATAAAAAAAAATCATGTACATTTTGTATAAAAAAACAAATGAGAAAAATTTAATGGAAATCCAATGAGAACTGTAACGATGAAATTAATGAGGGTTTATAGAAAGTTTTAGATCATTTAGGGACATAATTAATTATGTGCGAGTCGCTCCAACGAACAAAATATCGAGTGTTCATTCAATTGATAAAGAAGAAAATTAGGACGTACTCGGGTATTGTCGGAGTTATTTTGTAGCACCCCAGTTATTTAGCTCGCAATTTAATATTTTATCAGTAGTTGATAATCAATGAAAAGAAATTTCAAGTCAATGATTGCGTTTTGTAAGTATTTGTTATATCTATTTTTATTTTTAATATGTTTTTTTTTTTCATACGTCACACTTATTTTTTTGACACCTATGTTACTCCGAATTGTACGATAACATTTTCTCTTGATATGAAAAAAAAAACCATGAACAAAAACGAACAAAAATATTACGTGGACTTAGATAAATTTGTAATTAAAGGGCCAGAATTAACGAACAAAAAAATATAAAAAAACCTAATGAGATGTAAAACAATGTGAGTATTTGTGTAATGACCGCGGGGCGAGTGTCGCTTGTGGGTGCGAAAATTTATTAATTGTATTTGATGAATGCACCAGTTGTGTGAGCAATGAATTTCTTCTTGTGATTTGATATAATGCTATTATTGTACTTTTATGATGAACGCGAATTATAAATATATACATATGAATATTAACTGTTTTTTTTATTTATTAATCAAGAGGTGAGATTAATATTCTCCTTACAACCAAAAAGATTTTACACCTTGTTAACGTGTTTCGTGTGAAAAGTCAAAATAATGAAAAAATGATTGAAAAATTCTCGGCTTTGAGAAAAAAATTATTAAGGTTGGATGTTTTTGTAACTGCTCCTGCTATAAGGCCGAGGTTACCTCACTCTCAGTCAGGGAAATTTTCATATTTCTAAAAAAAAAATAACGACCTATTAAAACTAGTGGGTGATAAATCATATCTTGCTTCAAAGTAATAAGTTTTAGAATTTTTCTAGATTTCATAAGTTATTTGAAAAACTGATACAGGAAATTAGGAGTGTTAGGGGCAAATTCTATCCACTAACGCTCACATGTGGCAATTATATGGCAGAGGTATAGGGTTAGACCATGGAACTGAGAAAAAAACCGCAGGTTTATCAACTCGAAATAACCGCAGGAATGATCTGAGGGGGTTTTCCCACACCACTGATGCATTTCAAAATTATTTCAATAGTTAGAGAAACATCCAATAATAGTATATTGTGTCATTAGGACCGTAGACGGAGGTTTGCGATGAGTGCTGTTAACTCACACGAATCGCAAACCGACGTCACGGTCCGTATGACACATACTATTTTTTGTCATGAAGGCCCGTTGAA